GACCGATACCGATACGTAATATCGGATCGGTCCATCTCTATAGTAATTAGTGAATCTAAATTGGCCACAGGTGTGAATGGTTGTCTTTCCCCATATTTAAGCCCTGTGACAGAATGGTGACCTATGCAGGGTGTCCCCTGCCTCTCTCCCTATGACAGCTAACATAGACTCCCCTAAATCATTTGTTTATTCACAGCACCTTCAATGTCCCACTACAGCATTTGAACCAGGTTGAGTTCTGGACTGGGCCACGACTGGGCCATCGCAACACCTTGAATCTTTTCTTTTCAGCCGCTCTGCTGTAGATTTGCTGCTGTGCTTGGGATTACTGTCCTGCTACATTAGTCAAAATTCAGCTGTCAGACAGATGGACTCCCATTTGACTCTAGAATACTTTGGTATACAGAGGAGTTCATGGTTAGCTCAGTGACTGCAAGGTACCCGGGACCTGTGGCTACAAAATAAGCCCAAATCATCACCCCTGCACCACCATACTCGGCCATTGGTATGAGAGGCTTGTGCTGATATGCTGTGTTTGGTTTTCTCCAAACATGGTGCTGTGCATTATGGCCAAACATCTCCACTTTGGTCTTGTCTGTCCAAGGAACATTGTTCCAGAAGTCTTGTCTAGTCTTAGCAATACTGCCATATTCCTTTTAGAGACTTTCTCCAGGCAACGCCTCCAAAAAATCCATACTTCTACAGTCTTTTTCTAACTGTACTCTCACAAACGTACCTGTATGGTCTGAGATGATGTGTCACTGTGTTAACAAACAACTGAACTGCCAAAACGTCTGCTTCAGAGGTGCTCACACTTGATGATCAGCAGTTAATCAAGTGCATTGGATTAGCACCACCTAGCTGCTTCTTACCCTCTTAAATGCTCTTAAAGGATGTACTTAGATTTTCCCAGGACTGCACAGAGTCCTGTGCAAACTTTCTTTTTCACATGGCTCTATGCTATTTGCGTGTACCTAACACTTCCATGTGCAAACATGTATAGGCCTTTAGCAGAGTCTCATCCACCCTTACACACAACCCTGTACCCTGAGGTGTACCTGGTGTCAAATATAACAATATCTCCCGTTGGCTAGGTTAGAGAGAGACTCCACTGTTTAAACAGGACATGCTATATCCTGGATGACAACGGCACTGAATCAACAAAAGAGGAAAGAGGACACTCTCTACATCATCAGTGACTGTACCTCCACAGGTTCACAACAAAATGGTACACTGATTGAAGTCCCTTGGATGTCTGAAAATAACTTTAAAATGTCATTATGCGTCTTTGATTTGATTTACCTTGCAGCTCGGCCCCTGCTGGTATGGCAGATGTAGCGGAGAGAAACACAGTCATCTCACAATGCTACTTCAAATCATGCCAGATCCCCGAATGAACTTTTGGACACGAAATACTACAAAAATAATCATGACGGAAAATAAACCATTAAGAATTTGAGCATAGAACAAATTACTTTGCAGCGTCTTTAAGAAGCAAATGAAGAACAAATGGCACACACTATTTCCATACTTACACAGGTTGATGTTGCAAAGCCAGCAGTCAAAGGAAAGTGTGTACCGCTAGCTTTAATGTTACACTGATGTTTAAAAATAACATTGCATTAAGCATTTTGAAAGTTTCTAATATGAGGAATAAGACATAAATCGTTTAAGGGCCAGCAGTGCTGAGGAACAAAATGAATCAAAGAACCTTTGACTCTGCCCAGCATGCTGATTGACACCTGTGTGCACCACACTGGACCGGTCTGACGTGAATATCAATGTTTCGGCCTGTGTGCGCGGAGTGTGTCCAACACACCCTCCTCACACAGAGGGGGACCCTGTTCTAGCGGACACAGCCCAGGAAGCTTTGCGAAGCCTGAGGAAGAAAGAAGCCTGTGTGCATGCGTGTGTCCTGTGTGCATGTGCTGGTATTTTCCTCCTACTCACAAGAGAGCAGACACACACAAGCGCACACATGCCACACACCTTCCCCCCAGTGTGCTGCAGGTGAAAATTGGGGACGCTTCCGACAGAAGAATCATTCTAATCCTTTTGGTACGTTTATGGGTCAGCTCAATGAAATTATTCACCTTTTTTTTTTAAACTTCCTGTACACTCCCTCCACCCGCGACAGTGAAAAAACACACTCAGCAGCACCTCCAACCTCACCTTCTTCCCCACATACTTAAGACACAATAATAATAATGCCAAATTAACCTCAACACAGCATCCATGCCACTGTAACTGCTATATGAGAATGGACTCTGAAGCACATCAGGTTCCTCTTTCACCACACCAGTGAACACGCTGGTGTACTGTACACTTATGTGAACGTGTGGATATTACGCAACGCTTTGAGTCTCGGCAGGTGGATAAGCAACAGTCCCTTCTGGGATAAAGCACAGATGTCACAGAAATTGCAGTCACATGGACTTTGCCACTTCAGCAAAGAAAGTCTCCTCGTTCTGTTTTCACCGAGGGCAGCAGAACACACACATAAACACAGGCACACACAAAGCAATCTCTATAATTAGTCTTTGCTGCAGTGATTCAACACGTACGTGCATAAACATCCAAAGCTGCCCCAGTCATCTCATATATAAGGATGGAAATTCACACCTTTGCTCAACTATTAAACAGCTGATGACACTTTTTTTTTTCGGGAAAATTAAGGTTACCAACGGCTTTTGCGGGGTTTGGACCGGGGGGCCTTCTTGTTTTTTTTTTTTCCATCTTTTAACGGAGGAAGCGCCAAATGTAAGTCACCTTTTAGGGAAATTGCTGGGCCTAAGAAGGTGAGCACAGACACCCAGCAGACCGTTAAAGTGACTTTGAGAAATATCACATAGATTTTCTCCCTCAGGTTAAACACAGCAGTGATTTTCAGCATGTTTAATAGTCACGGGGAAGCATGTCATTTCCTTTAAGTAGTACCTGAGGGAACACAGGAATAACCTTTGGAGTTACACCTTTTATCATAAAAACAATATGCCATTCCCTGCTTGTTGTTGTTGCACATAGTATATATATATTATTAGACACTATATATCTAATAATATATATAGATAATTATATTATCTTGAAAAAAAGACTAGGAATTTAAAGCCTAAATCTATTTTGACTGCTTTAAAAAATGAATTTCTCTTTAAATCCAGGTTAGTTTTCCTTTTCCTCTTCTCTGCCTTATTCAAACAAGCAAAATGAATGAGTAAACAGTGAAAAGATCTGAAGAACCAGTTTTCAGCCATATGGGGTGCTCTTCATCCATAACGCAGACAATAGACTAGCACTAGTGTCTCAGAGACAGGTTTGAGAGCTCCACATATTTTCAGGATGAAACATTAACGATGGGCTGTACTGCAGGTAGACAAACCTCGTTGTTAATACGCTGCACTGCCTCGCCTTTTTAAATGCTGGGTTTGATAAAGCAGGACATCCCACTTACCTTGAAAGAACAGGTAGAGGGGAAGAAAATCTTCAGCGACAGTATCCAGCAAGTCATGCATTTTGTTCGGTATAAGCGTGGTAATGATTTCTATTCTTTTACCTGTTGCGGTAGAATAGCGGTGCTGATCGGCATCCGGGCTGACGATCCAGCTACTGAAGAGGGGAGGATCGATCCAGCAGCCGGGCGGGTGTGGACTGGAAATGGGCGTCTTCAGTTCCAAGAGTCAAGCTACGCGGAAGTGCGCGGAAGACTTCCGGCTTTGTCTTTCAAAAATAAAACTCAAAAGGGAACGAAGTACTGTTCAACTCCTTCAGATGTACAGTGCTCTGAAAAAGTTTTAAGTATATTTTTCTGGGAGAATGTGAAAGAAGTAGAGAGATTTATGAAAACGTGCATAGACACATATAAAAAGAGAGGCAAAAACCACCTTAATGACCACCTTCTATTGACATATTCTATATTCTTCAGCCCTCTCTCAGGCAAGCTTTCTTGTCATTTCTTTAATAATAATTATCCAGGCTTATTGAAGAACATTCATAGCTCTTTCTTTGGATTTTGGCTTTCTTTTCTTCCATTCTCCATCAATATGACCCCACATTGCTTCAGTATTGTCCACCTCCAAGTTCTGGGGAGGCCAATCCATGATTGATAGTGTTCCATTGTGTGTTTTTCTAATCACATATGCTTTTATTGCATTGGGAGGGTGTTTGGGATCATTTTCAAGCGGACAAATTAAACCGTTACCAATGAGATGCATTCCAGATTGCATAACATGGTAGATCAAAATCTGACTGTACCTTTCTGCATTCATAATCACATAATTTTTCAGGAGCTGTGTTTGACCTTAAGTACATAACTTTCAGATATGATTCATCAGCTGTACATAGTCTTTTTTTTAAGGTCTGCCACTTCTTGTTTTCTATTAGTCCTTTAGTTATCCAGGTAAAACTCTCATTGAGATTAAAAATCATTCTTCTTTTGTCCTCCAATTGTCCAGTTTCTTCAAATGTTTTAAGGACACCATGCACACCATGGTGAAATATGCCAAGTTTTAAGTAATAGTTCTTTGGGAACCACCTTGTTGGAGCAAAGATACTATTTTATCCCTGTGAAACGTATTTACCTTTGGCATTTTTTGTGCATCCAACAAAAGAAATGGGAACAAATTATGTTTTTATAACTAGCTTTTCGTAACAAAGTACGTAAATATTCAAATTTAAGTATGCCTATGTTATGCAGTTTTCTGCTCTTGCTTTATATTTTTATATACTTTATTACCTTTACTTAAGTAAAATGTCTAAATACTCCAGCCCCCCACCCTCTACTAAACCATTATCCAAAGATTACATTAGAATTTTTGTGCAGCTCCACTTCTCACATTAATCTGTAATAGGTCACAAGGTTGCACATAAACCTGAAAGTTGTTATCTATACCAGTCCTTCACACTGATTTTGTCTTGCAGTAGACATTTGTCTTGCTCACAGATCACTTTTTTCTTTCATTTGTCACCTGTATGTTGGCTTTTCAGCCACTTATATTAGTAATAATCAAAATCTACAAACAACTTATACAAAACATAACAGAGTGGCACCCCAACAGAAAATTTAGTGATTTGTCTTTTTGAATTTTTTATTTTAGTGAACTGGGGATAGAATTGCTTTTTAGAACCCCTAAAGCCATGTAGAAAGTCTTTTAGTCACTTTTCTTTTAATGGTTATATGGTTTGTAGAGTATATAAGGTCCACAAAAGGAGTAAATTATGTTAGTATTGAGCACCACCAACAGCCCAATTTTGGCATTACATCAAAATCATACACCAAGTCTAATCTTTAAGCTTCTAATATGAAAATTTCAGCTACAATTAAATATGCAATACTTAGCAAATGGGTTAGACACATACACAAGAAAACCCAAATATTCAGGAAACCTGACAAAAACTTGTTTAAAAGTAAATATTATTGTTACACCTTGTTGTTATTGTAAATATTGTTGTTAATTAGGCACACTGGACTTCAGTAAGAAACTGATCAAGCATAACATTTAAACACCAAGACTATTGTTTTGGTTGGGAATACAAGTATTAATAACAAACACCTTACATTGGTTAGCGAGCTAAAAAATTTGCTCGCCACTGTAATATTTACACACATATATAAATAAAACACACCATGACGATATGACAGGTTCGAGCTTTCAAACCTTTATACAAAATGTACATACAGTGTGCTATCAATGTGTATATTACCTCAAATATGAATACATACATTTATTTGTGTTGCAGGATTTTTAGTAATTTACATTATTGTTGCCAGTCTGGAAAATTATCTGAAAATTTTTTGTATATACATATTTACACATTAATGACGTATTTCTATGTGTGCTCGTTTATAAAGTAAAATACATACATATGTAAAAAAAAGAGTAAAATATATAAAACAAAAAGCAAGAGAATGATAAACATTTTACAAACAGTCCAGGATACCTCAATGGATAAAAAGAAAAAAGAAAAGGGAATAAAAGGAAACAACATCTATGAAGTTCAACATCCAAATTCTTTGTTATAAATTAGAGTACTAAAAGGCTGCTACAGAAAGGAAATAACACATGTGGTTCCATGCTGCAGACATTTGCCCTGAAAGCTTTTGGTCAATATGAGCCATCTTTTCAGGCTTTTAACCCATAGCTCTACTATATTTGTATAGATTGAGATCGCTTTAAAAAAAAAAGAAAAAAAAAGGATTGAACTCTCCTTCTCCATCAACAACAAAAAGCTTTTCACAGGAATTAAGGCAACATTATTCAAACTTAATGTTCTATACAAAAGACATTTTTTTCCATTAACACTCACATTCCTGTTTAACATCCACTTCACTTTCTGCACTTCCAGCTGGCATATGTTCCTGCTCCTCTTTTATCTCCGTGTCCTGACCTACAGTTACCATGTAGTAATCCATGTATCCCTCAGTGTCTGACTCAGTTTTTATGACAGTCTCACTACTTAGAGATGCAGTTTGCACACATCCATCAGAGGGCTGTGATGACTTGCTTCCATTATTGCTTTCAGAGGTTGGACATGTGGTATGCCCAAGGGAGCCTGCAGGATGACCTGGGACTAAATTCTTGGCAGCCTCAGTGTTTAAGTCAGTTCTTACATCATCATTACCTTGGTGATAGTTTGTTTCAACATCCAGTGATGGCATATTACCATAACGTGGATCATCTTCCTCCTCTTTAATTTGGAGGTTTCCTGGAAGAAAACCGTCACAACCTACAGTTGTGGTGGTACTGATGGAGGTAATCGTAGGGGTATTCATGGGGGTAAGTGTAGAGGTGTTCATGGGGGCAATTGTAGGGGTATTAATGACGGTAACTGGAGGTGCAAAAATTGGGGTAATTGTTGGGTTAATCACAGGGGTAACCATAGGGTTGATTACAGAGGTAATCAAAGGTGTAAAAATAGAGGTAATCGTAGGGATGTTCATGGGGTTGACATTCATCTGCATTATTGTCACTGGCTGCATTTGGATTGCATGTAATGTTGCTGGCTGCACACATTGGTTTCCATCCACTCTATGAGCACTTTTATTATTTTGCAGATTTTGTGTTAAGCTCTGTGGGAGTTTGGGTCCAGACAGAAATGGTAACTTGAAGATCTTTTCTATTCCAGTATTTCGATACTGTCTGATCATCGAATGGAATTTGGTTGCAGCAGCGATTGAAAATTCCCAGCGCCTGTGATGCTGTGAGCTAATCTCAAAGTTATAGTCTAGGATGTCAAACAAAATAGCTGGGAAATACTGGTTCCTTTTCGTTGCTGCAAATTTCTGTATTTCCAACAGCACCGATGATGTCAGTAACTTCAAGTTCAGCTTTTTTTTGCCCGCTGATTTTGATGGAACATCAAGGTCCAGACCTATTTTCTTGCAAATAGGATAGAGATTTTTCTGCTTATTCTTTGTTAACGTCACAGCACTCAGAGTATTACTTAACAGCATGGCTTTTTCCTTCTTTGCTTGCATTTCCAGTTGTCTTTTTCGAACCGTTTCCTTCCATTCATTTCTCTGCACAGTGGGAAGCTCTTCCTCTGTACTCTCAATGACTTGAAATGTGCGAGGTGGCTGAATAATAAAAACTTCGCTGAACCAGGCGGGCTCTCCATCATGTGGATTCACTCTGTAGAACTGCACTGAAGGATTCATGTCTAGACTCTGCTTGTCCAAGCTGAAGTTGTGCTCAAGAACATCATTGACAAGCTTGTGCTTTGTCCCGCACAGTTTCCTGGCAAAAGAATACACCTCGCACATGACCTCCCACGTCAAAACACAGGTGTCGAGTTTAAGTTTTGGGTGAGCTTTGTCCACACATAGGCTTAAACCTATTTTCTTGCAGAGAGGGTAAGTGTTCAATATTGCTTCTACTGATGCAGAAGAAGAGGTTTGATCATCTGGAGGCTTTTTTACCGTGCTGCTTGCGTTAGTAGAGATGACGCTGGTCACGGCAAGAGGATGGCGAAGCACATTACCAGAGTGAGATTCATCCTGGACAAGCTTGCCATTTTTATCTTGATGACATTTGGGGCAATCTGGAGTATATTCCTCGAAGAAAACTGACAGAGGGAGTTTAAAAAGCTTTTTCTTTTGAGGCAGGCTGAATTTTTTTGACTTCAGTGTTGTAATGGTTTGGATGAGCTGCTCTGCGAAGGCAATGTGAGATAGCTCACTGTTCAAATTTAGATCAAAATTATACTCCAGGATCTCCATGATGAAATCTTTTGTGGATGACAGCATTGCTTCGGCAAATGTGTTAACTTCAACCATGACGCCATTGGTCAATAACTTTGGGTCCAGATTTTGCTTTACTCCAAATCCGACATTAAAATCCATATCCAATTTCTTACACCTGGAGTAAGAATACAGTGGGCAATGTTCTCCATGAGGCACTGAGAGGATGCGTTGAATTTGATTGATCCGCAATCTCCATAGAACTGAATTTAGGTCATTTTGTTGCTTGTCAGTGGAATTGCTTACATTTTGGTGCTTGACTGTTTGAGTAGATGCAGCACTACATATTTCTGCATCTGGCTTGTATCGGCAATTCAGTTTCATGACTATTGGATAATCTCTTCGTGTGTTCTTTTGCTTTGCTTGGGCTACCCAGGTTGCCACATTTCTATGATCATTTGCAACA